AGAATGAACAATTGTATTTTAATTGGTCCTTGCAACTTTCTATAAGAGCAAAAAGCTTTCTCTTAGTATAATCTTAAATGGATGCAGCTCTAAAAATAATACACATAACTTTGAAAAGTCTTAAATTCCTAAAGAATGTTAATGTCATTTTAAGCATTTTTAGTTGAAGTGGCTTGTGCTGCTATGAAGAAAACCATGTGGCATATACTATATTTTATCAACGTCTTAACAGGAGGAGTATCTTCCCAAAGATTTTTTTTTTAAATTTTAAGTGTATGAGTGTTATGCCTGCATGTAGGTAAGTGCACCCATGTTGTGCAATGCCCGTAGAGGACAGAAGAGGCTGTTGGATCCCCTGGAACTGGAGTTACACACAGTTGTTAGCTGTCATGTGGGTGCTGGGATCAAACCCAGGTCTTCTGCAAGAACAGTCAGTGTTCTTCACTGCTGAGCCAGCTCTCCAGCCCCTAATAATTCTATGCAGGGCTCATCCGGGATTTAAACCCAGGACCTCTTGCACCCAAAGCAAGAACCATACCCCCAGACCAACGAACCAACACCCAAAGAATTCTTTAAGATGTGCGGTTCAATGGGTTAAAGTTAATTTTAGTAAGACAACATATTTACTTTTCCTAATCCTGTATTTGTTCTTATCTAAACTGAATCCCAGTCCGAGATGAAATCAAATATTCTAAACAGATTTTGATGAATATGGGTTACACAGCTCATGTCATGATTCACACTGCTTTACACAGAGAAACAGTTCGTTTGTGTTTACTAAAATCAAGACTGCCAAAGAGAAACCTATAGCTTGTAGTCATCTAATCTTAATGTGAAATACAACCCAAAAAATGTATCTTAAAAATGTCTTTCTTTACAGCCCACAAGGCTGATTCAACTGTGGTATCTGACTGTGGAAATGTCCTCTGTATTCTGGCCGCTCTGTCCTAACAAACTGAATTTCTGACAAATAAGTCTCCATCTGTACTTGTCATCTTCAGGAATCTGGAAATCACTAACTTCAGCACACTGGTTCTATTAATACCAATGCTCCTAAGGGCGGGGTCAGTCAATAAAGAAAAAGAACTAGTTTGATTACAGGAAAATCCTGACATTTAAAAACCACAGGAGTCAGGCGTGGTGTCATAGTACCCACCTACAATTCCAGCACTTGAGAGGAGGCAGAAGATCAAGAGTTCCAGGCCATCCTGAACAAACAACCATAGGGGCCAGGGATATATGCTCCAAAGTAGAGTATAAGGCCCTCAGTTCAATCTGTAGTTCCACCAAACAATAAAACACACACCCTAGACTGTAACACTGCTATACTGGGAGTCTAACCAACTATTATATTTTGTTGATGACCATCAATCATATTAATAGTAAATGTATTCACTTAGTTAGCGGTACTGTCCTATCCTGGGTCCAGTGTGTGTGTTCTCATGTTTGTCTCCTGTACTTCCTTCCCCCTCTCAAAACGTTCCTCAGAGCACAACTAGTTACACAGATGTATGGTGCACAAGAAATGGAACTGGGGAACAATTTGCATAGATGGACAAAGGTTTCACTGAAATACAACTATGAAGTATTAGAAAGGCCTGCCCCCATTACAAAACCCTAAAGATTTCCAGGCAAGGATCATTCTTGCTCTCATTCTCTCTAAGGACTAAGAAGAAAGTTTCTGTGCAGAAACTTCTTAGGGCTGGAAGAGAGTTAGGGGAGAGAGTGTGGTGAGGCTCTTCTGTCTGTGCCATTACCTAACAATAAAAGTGGACACAAGTGTTCCTGACATTCACCAAGGAGGGTCAAACCACAGAACACAGCCAGGCTCTTCTAGTTGAAAACATGTTTGAAATGGTTTAATGGTGTTACCAGTCAGAGGTCTCATTCACTGGGCATAGCTGTGAAGTCAACTTCATTACCATGCATTAATAGTTTACTCCCTTCCTACCACTCTGGTGCCGTGATGATAGCAAACCCCTCAATTAAAAGCCAGGCTCTGAGACATGCACCTAAACAAGCTCTTGACAAACAGTGCCCTGTGACTGACTTTAAGGTTTGTGTTTGTGAACAGATGTGTGACCTCACTTTTACACTTAATATATGAGGCATGATAATGATGAGGCTTCATACAGTTAGTGTTTCAACACACCAAGAAAAAAAAAGCAGAGGGATACCTAAAAAAAAAAAAATTTCTATTTCAGTAAAACACAAATTTTAACTTCAGAAGTGCAGAAGTTTGCCCAATGTTGCAGCTGCTAAAACTAACAACTGGAAGGTCCCATTTGCGGCTCTGCCAATCTTAAGTTCGTTCAACTAATATTTCTTCCCTCTTGTTCTATCACCTCTAGTTCCAGTGAGAGCCTTAAACCAGGACTTAAAGGTCTGTTCAGAGAGGATTCACAGCACAGTGCAAGGACCATCACAGTTACATCCCACCAAAAGTACTGCAGGTCTGAGGCTAGCACTCACTCTGATTACAGGAAAGCCGTGTAGCTATGCCTTGCACATATCTACATGAGGCTGCATAAATATTGTCAGATAAAGTAATTTTTATAAGCCCGCTGTTTATTTTCCTAAGAACACAGAGCTTAAAACAAAATTTGAAAAACATACCCCTCTCATAGGTAAAAAGTTTAAATTCAGAAAATGCAAACTTAGGTAGCAAAAATAGGAAGAACCGCCCATGTTCTCACAGCTTGCCGTTCCCGTTCCCTAAGCAAGCTCTTAAAGCACTTAGCACTGTGAAAGGAAATGAAAACAAAAGCAAAACAACAAATAGAACTCTCCCTCTGTCACACTGAACTTAAAGCTCAGGAGACAGGTGGAAACACAGTATGTGTGTCCATTATATATAATGGACACTTTCAAATTAAGACAACTGAATCATCTAGAAAGAAAGAACTAGCAAATGATAGCAGATGAGTCATTTCTAAATAAAACTAAAAAAAAAAAGTGTATTTTCTAAGTTTATTTTAAAACCAAGTGTATTTTCTAAGTTTATTTTACATGCAGACAACATAAGCTCTGGACGATTTTAGAGGAGGAGGATAAGGCATTCTCCAATAGAAACCCCTCCTGTAAGCTCCTTTGGGATGCTTAAAGACAGTGCTAGGCACAGGTCTCATCAGCACACTGGCTGACAATAGAACTACAGCTAACCCTTAAAGGCCAGAGATGAAATGTTTACGGGAGGTAAGTATTATTGCTAGGACAGTCCATCCCCGTAAAGTCAATTTTGTACTGACTGGACTGCCTACAATCAAGTTTTAATTCCAGAGGAAACTGGCATTTGTGCCCCCTTCTTCATATGGTAGGAAATCTCTTAGTACTGCTTAGCCTATATTCATGTTCAAAAACTGGAGGATGAGGGGGAAAATATATGACAACTCTGTCAAGATGACTCATTACTAATAAACACAACTGACTGTAGAATACCTATCTTTCCTTGAAACATTAGTAACTAAAAATGTGCTATAAAGAAATACATAACAGACCACAGCTACTGTAGGTCTGAAACAGGAGCCTCACGTTATACTACACGTTCTGACCCTACACGTGACTACCAGTAAACACCTTTTGAAACCAGTACACAAACAACCCCAGAAAGCATACATTCAAACAAGAGGCATCTAAAGATTTTAAAAAATTACCTGCTATATTTTTGTATAAAAATAACCAACATTTTCTAATGTACACAAAGCCAAAAGATAAATATCTGTGATGTCTTTGTGACATCTTTAGTTTCACACTAAACACAATCTCTTTCAAAAGCGCAATGAAGATAATTCTTCTTTCTTGACTTACTGAATATCTTGGCTGAGGATTTATGTTCTTTCAATTGTTAAAATATCTCAATCATGTGGTAAAGGTACAGAAAGCAAGTGCAAACAGAAATCAGAACCTCGTCGTTTTTTCTTTTTTTGTTTTGTTCCATCTTTTGAGCCAGCATCTCCCTGTAGCCCCTGCTGGCCTAGAACTCGCTACGTAGACCAGGCTGGCCTCGATTTCATAGAGATCCTCCTGTCTCTGCCTCCTGAGTGCTGGGACTAAAGGTGTGAGCCACCATGCCTGGCCCTCATATAGTCTTTTGATGTCCAGTATTGTAAGGCCCTCAGGGCACCACAGAAAATTTTGTCTTAATGTCTTAATTCTACAGAAAAGTAACTGTTCAGTGAAAACTTTTGATTAAGAGAACTCACTTGGTAAATACTTTGTGGGAAGAATCAGTAAACTCTTAGTAAGGACTTAGTTAAAGGGAAATGTCCTCACCAGGCTCAGCATGGCCGATACTGGAAAGCATCCAAGGAGCGATGGCATCTCCTCTGTAGACTTCCCTTGCTAGAAGAGACGCACTAGGCCTATGGGCATGACTGCACCACTACGCCTTTGTCAGTGCAGAGGAGCAGGGACAGGAATTAGTACTATGTCAGAGTCAAATGTTAGCCTAATTTTATAGGCCAATTTACAGATTTTTCCCTTTTTCTATCATACACAGTAAAACTGGAAGAAAAACACTTGAGTGCACACTAGTCACTTGGATAATACTCAGTGTGTCCTCATCACACCCATCAGCTGTGTATGTCCCTGAGGTGAGAAAGCAGCACCAGGGCTCCTCACCAGGGCTCCTCACCCTTGGCACTGCAGGCATCTGCACCACATCATTCTTGGTGGGGGGACATCCTGTGCTGTAGGACATTCAGTGACATCTCTGGTTGCCACCACCTCCTCTTCAATCCCCATAGCAACCCCTCCCAACACTCAACCCTAAGCTGTGACAACCAGAACGTGTCCAGATATTGCCAAATGTCCCCTGGGGAACAAAAGTTACCTCTACTGAGAACCAATGCTCTCAATGGACAGAAACCAGGAGGAAAACTGTCAGTCCAGCCAAATTGTGGGTCAAATCCAAAACAGAAACTCTTTTGACCTCCAGATCAGTATTGCCTTTCTTACACTCAAAGCATTTGTCTGAAAGATAGGTTTTTTTTCAAAATGTACTGATTATTTCATTGCATTTAATTCTGTCACTGGGCTCCTACATCATTCCATATCTCTATGAAAACCTTTAGAAAACTAACAGGGTATAAAAATGTATAAAAAAACAAAGGAGGGGAAATGTAAATCATTAAATTATTTTTAAAAGGATTCTTTATATTAATGATAAACACCTTTGAAAAATTATCTAGTATAGCATATTTGTTTGAAAAATATGGGCCTCTGTAATAAGTCTTTGAATGGGGCATGTTATCAGTAAAATTAACTTCACCAGTATTGGCTAATTATGAGAGTGGATGAGTTACTGTATGTGCAGAAGAAATGTCAGCCCTGGATGTGGAGATCCCAATGTGCTGGGCCTTCACATGTCCACTATTCCCAGCCAGCTCAGACCTTTACCTTACAAGTCTGTTAGAAAGAGGAAAAGTGGGGTTACATCAAAGCCTTGGGTTCCTGTTAAGATTCCTTCAGAGAGTTGATGCGTGCACAGATCTTCAGGGCAGGGCCCAGCTTGATATTCATTGCACTCATGAGATGGTCTTCTTTTAGCAAGAGAAGAGCCTGTCCATCAATCTCTTGTGCTCTGAACTCGTCTGCAATATCCTGGCAGCCTGGAAGTTGATCAGAGGAACGTTAGAATTAAATACACAATTAGGCATTACTCTTCAGCCACAGTTACTTTGTTATTAGGTCTGAAAATCTGAAATACAGGCTAATAAATCAATAAAATGTATTTGTAAGTCTTGTATTCACCCTTGAAGAGGAGTATTTGCTGGCATTCTGAAGGTAAGAATTCAAAATCCTAGTAAAGCAGTTTGCTTAGAATTCTTGCTCTAAAAATACCACAAAATAATTAGCAAGAGGTAAAAACAGAGTGATCAATCAATATATTACATTTCGTTCATGAAGAGGATTATGGTGTCACCTCAAGGTATGTCATACAAGGTTTGAATTTCTATAACTTTTGAATTCATCTTTGTATAACATAAGCTCATACATAGGCAGAGAAGAGTAAAATATGTTTTGCCATAAATAATCTGGAAGTCACTTCCTCAGGTGTCAGATTATCACTTTTACTCGCCTGTGCCTTCCTCACATACCTTCAAGTGTGCCGAAACACTCCCTTGTTCACTCAGAGCAAATTACTCAGGCCTGCAATGTTAATGCTTCACATACTGTAGGCACAAGTCATGCTGCTCAACTTAGAACTTCAAATCTTAACATCCCGGGACTCACTTCTATTTTTGTGTTTTGTTTTGTTTTGAAACAGTCTATGTAGCCCAGGCCAGCCTTGACCATATAATTATCCTGCTTCATCCTGCCCTGTGCTGGGATTACAGAAATATGCCACAACACTTTTTTTTGGGGGGGGGTTGTTTGGAATGGGACCCAGGCCCTGGGCACCGCAGGCACATCTTCTACCACTGGACCCTGCCACATCTCCAGCCTCTTCACTTTTGGTAAGAAACAATGGTATTAGCTACCTGAACCCTGAATGGTTTTACTGTCTACCAAAATATTTGCATATCCAGGTTACTTAATAACTTCTCTATCAAAGTAAAGAAACCAGTCAGTTAAGTAACGAACTAAGGAACCTAAAGAGAGAGTGCAAGAACATCGCACTTCCTTACAAACAGTGAAATTATGAAAACAAACGAGAATCACATCAGCTTTAGTCTTCTTGTTGTAGTTGAGTCACTATTCCAAGGGGAAATAAAAGGATCACGGAAAATGAAAATAGCATCATTATACCTTTGAATGCAATTTCACTGGAATGCTTCTAGTTTCTATTGTAAATGTATCACCTTGCAGTTTGTACTAAGACAGTGGGCTGCCCTGTCACCCCAGCGCACACACAAAGCACTAGAGGTGCAGCATTGCTGCCTTTATGAAAGGACAGATGAGCAACTAGAGGACAAGGACTGAGAACATAGCCCGCTGTTGAGGCGCTGTCCATGGAACTACACTGGCTCCTGTGCTCTCCACTCCCCTCGGCCCCTTTTCTCCAGTGTCCTCCCTTATTTCTGTCTTCACACACTTCTTACACAGCAGCCAGCTTTCAATTTCTGTATTTTGAGAATTTCTCAAGACTTTCAAAAATTGACATTTCAAAATCCTATACAAAATTTTTAATAGTTTTGGCCATTTACCACACATAAAAAACTACACAGATGAAATGGAGTTACTCACCATAGAAAAGCCCCTTTTCTTTTCCCAGAGGTAGCTCTCAACAAAACTGGGCAGACAAAACTGACTAATCTTGCATCTAGTTGTGACTTCATCCTTCTTTTTATGAAAGAACTAATGTTCTTCTCTCTTCAGTCTTACTTACAAGAACCCAGGAAAGGAAAGGAGAGAGAGGATAGGACTTACTTAGTCAGAAATCAGAGCAGTGAGAAGTAACAAGGACCTAAGACCTACATGTAGGGACAGAACAAAGAGTTCTCCACAAGGAAACTGTCAGCATGTCCTCATTCCTCTGTACTGGGAGATTCCTCTCAGATACCTGCTTGTAGGTAGAGTAAATGCATTGGCAAAATAATTGTTTAAGAAGTATGTTGGGAAACAGCATGATTAGAGAGGAATGCATTATCATCAAAATTTTAGATCCCGGTTTCCCTAGGTCAAGCACAAAAAGTACCATTACATTAGAACAGAAAAGGGAGAGAGAAAGAGAATACCAAGCAAGTATGCATCCAAAAACTTACTGGAGAAAAACCACATTTTTTTTTCAAGTTAAGCATTTAAGGTATTCTGAGCTAACATCCTGTGAGTTCCTAACAGCAGCTTCTATTGTGAAATACCTGGAGCCCAGCACACACCATGAGAAGTGGCCAGTTAGTCCGGCTGACCACTCGCCAGGGCCACATGCGCAGCTTGGTATGGCACAGGCCTTTACACAGGAGTCCCACCTGAATTTCCAATGTCCAGAATCATACCTCCCACTTTGAAATCCAGATCAAAACATGCCATGCACAAACTGACTCACTAAACTGCTGAAAAGATACCACTTGCTACTCAATGTTGCAGAATAAATAAGTATGTAAGACAGCAGAGAGCCCAACTTTTAAGAAAAGATTCCTATTTTACATGCCTACAGAGAAAATAAATCTGCAGATTCACAAATCAATAAATAGACTAATCCTGGCAAAAAGGCAGTCCCCTGCAGGAAGAAACGAAGAAAACCTACAATTCGTTGAAAACAAGAACTGCTCTTGTGAAAACTTTTTAATTCCCAAAAAGTTGTATATAACTTTTCACTGAGGTAAGAGCTCTGAAGTGTGGGTTTACTACCTATAAATTTTAACACAATTCCAGCAGAATGCTTAACAAGATGACACACAAAGATAACAGAAACCCTTAGGTAAATATAAGCGCCTTGATTGGACAGAGAAGGATGTCTATATATCTGGCAAGAAAATATGAAAGATTACAAAAGTAACAGCTTGTTCATATGAGGAAAGCTTGGGTAAAGACTACTCAGGAAAAATAAATAGCCCAAAGGAGCTACAAGAGTCTCAGGATAAAAGTATTTATAAATTCCAGAGAACCACAAAGAAATAAAGATGAACACATTTTTCTGGTGTATGATTTACCTTAAGCTACAGGAATTACTCAGAAAAACTTTGAGGAAGCCAAGCACTGATCACATAAGATTTTGGGCCTGTCAAAACAACTCTGAAACACTCCTGTTTTATCAGCAAAGAAAAGCAGAGGCAAGCAATTCTAAAGGATGTCTCTTTTAGTATATAATGTTCTCTTAAAAAACTTAGAAGAAAACCAAGTTCAGGTGAACTCAGTAAGACAAGAATGTCCAGTTTGGGTGGCGCTGCTTGTTGAACTCAAATGAAGGGAGAGTGAGACAAAGTCTTCATTAGACTCTTGATCTATGAAAGCAGCCAGGAGTGGACACAGGCTGCCCTGAAAAACACCTGAGGTTGTCAGAGACTCCGCAGGAACTACTATTTGTTGGTTATTTCAGAGAACCAATTTCCTCAGAATATAAAATACTTACTTTCCTTGCCCAAAAGAAAATAAATATTTAAGAACTCTGACTCACAAACACATTACAGGGTCCACCTAAGAAACCAAGATGACCGAAGATGGCAAGAAGTCCAGCCCTACATCATCAGTGGAGACACCAATGTAAAGTCTCAAGATAGCCATACTGGTCTGAAACTAAAATTCGTTTCCTTAAATAAACAATAATCAAAGAAGAGTCACTATCCTGCAATATATCAAGTTTAAAACTGATTCTAAACACACATGGTCAGGTATTAAACTTTAGTTTTCTTAGGCAGATGCTTAAAAACATATGAAGTACACTTTTAAACAATTCCATCTTTAGAAGTAACCATACCTTTTAAAAGTTTAGCATTTATAGCTGGATATGGTAGCTCATGCCTTTAATCTCAGCACTTGGGAGGCAGAGGCAGGCAGATCTCTGTGAGTTGGAGGCCTGCCTGATCTACATACATAGTGAGTTCCACGCCAACTGGGGCTACAGGGAGACCCTGTCTCTTTTTGAGAGACAAAAAAACCCAAAAGTTTTTCATTTATAAAAGCTATGATATAATAATTTTTACAGTTCAGAATATGAGCTAAAATTTAGGGAGCAGTATTTTAAAAGATACATTAGTTTATATATAAATATAATAAAAATATATTCCCTTCTGAAACTTTGGTCACCTTCTCAGAAAGGTGAATAATTAGCTCAATTTAAGAAATGTCTGGTGAATAACTCAAAGGAGATATATTCCTCTGGAAAGCTTGAGTCAGGAGAAATTATGTGATTCATAATAAAACCAGGGAATACATTTTTAAATCTCATTTTCTGTATTCATAAAGACAAAGCAAATAAGATTTACAAATTTTAAAAGAAATATACTGTCTTAACACATATGTCCAACGTGGGTCTCATCACAAGCAAAGGTGCACCTGTCTTCTACTGCCTGCCCCTGGAGCAGGTACGGATGGAGACCGTTGCTTTCAAGAAAAAGCAGGCCTAAGTTGATGGGAAAGTCTCAGAACAGGAACACACAGAGGTTGCCCTTGATATGAGACTCCGTGTAACTGGATTTTAGCTGTCTACCTAAAAAACGAATACCATACATGCTCTTGGTGTTCACTTAATTGAAAAGAATCAGAGTATAGCTTCCTTTAAAAGAACGAGCTTGATTTTTTACAAAGAAACCAAAACTTTAACATATTCTACAGTCTTGATTAGCTTTCAAAAATGGACCAAAAAAATCTCTCGTTTCAATTTCAAAAAGGTTAGCTTAGAAACAAAGAGAAAACAGAGAAGAGCTGAGGGGAGCCAGGTCTGTCAGAATCTGTCTACTGACCTCTCGATAGATCAGACTGAGGAAAGAGCTAAACCTTAGTATCTTCAGAGCTGGGGAGTCACAGTGGAAGCGGGACTAGTCAGTTTTCAGCAACTTGGGGGTATGAAAAAATGCCCAGTTGTGCTGAGGGACTAAGCAAGAAAGGAGGAAGGTCGTATTGCAGTAGCGAATGCCATCTGCGCACACAGCCCAACCAGCCCTTTGCGCGAAGGCCTGGCCGGACTTGGAGTTCCGTCCGGAGGGAACCACGTACCGGGCAAGGAGCGGATGAAGGCCCAGACGTCGTCCACCGTCCATATGGAGGGCTCCGTCGTTGTGGCCGGCAGCAAGTCGCTGTTCTCGGGCATTTTCCTGATTCTCACGTCGCGAAGCTCACGCTCTCTCTCGCGCTCGCTCTGCCTGCGCAGACGAGTTGTCATAGCAGAGGGCACGGAATCTTCGTGGGACGGCAAATCTTCTTCTGCAGATGGATAAGTAATTGGAAGCTGGAAAATGTAGTACAAGTAAAATACAGCACTGCACGCTCCTTGCATTTCTGAAAAGCATACTGTACTGAAGCAAGGTTTTTACAGACCTGCCTAAGGATATGTTCTCGTGCCGCCCCTTCAGGGCCGCTTGGACGACGGCCCCGATGCCCGAGACTTTGATTATCAGGCTTACGGTTCCAACGACTAAGTGCAAATTTTTTAGAACAGCTAACGTTGTACCTAAGAAATTCAAGAAAAAAAAAAAAAAAAAGTAAGCAATACATGGGACACCCCATCTAGTATTTAATTGTGACTTTCAGGTACAGTCGTGACTCCATAAGTACTGTATCATTCATTAAGAACTGTAATACCTCACCTCATATTATGAAATGGATTCATTCATGCTGCAGGCCAAAATTGGCCTGTGCATATATCATAAAATATCTCTCAACATAATACTGGGTACATATAACAAGGTATTGACATTTCTCCCGACTACAGAAAGGTAGAGGTCTGTAAAATGCAGAAGATAATCTTCAGAGCAGCAAGAAAATTCAAGGTTCCGGAAGACAAACAATAAACACTTAGAATATCTAGGAACTGTATTTTCCCAAGTAATACATTTCGGTTTTATTTCATTTTTTTAGTGTGCAGAAAAAGGAGTATGCAGATGTTTATGTATGCACAGACGTGTGGGTATGCTCAAGAATGCACATATATGCACAAACGTGGAGGGCAGAGGTCAACATCAGGTCTTGTCCCTCAGAAGCCATCCACCTTATTTTTTCAAAACAAGGTCTCTCACTGGGACCTGGGGCTCGCTGATTAGGTTAGACAGGCTGGCCAGTCAACCCCAGTGACCTGCCTATCTCTACCTCCCCAGCACTGGGATTAAAAGTACATGCCACCACACTTGATTCCTTATGTGGTTTTAGGGACTGAACTCCGGTCCTCAACTTAGCTATGGCTCCAGCCCTCCAAGGAATAAATTTTGAAAAGACGTTAATAAAAATGTGAGTGTAAAAAGGGTATGCTCTCAAGCAGCTAGTAAAAGATTTTTGAAGTATTACTAAAAATCAGAGTGAGTTTTAGTTCAGATTTCAAAGTTACACAGTAAATCCATGGTTCCTGCTACTAAGGAAATCTGGACATGTGTAATTCTTTAATATTGGCTTAAAGATCATTTTTCTTTTATCAAAACAAGACTGCCTATTTTTGTTGCTTTGTTTTTTGTTGTTGTTCTTGTTTGTTTGAGATGTCTCATTACATAGACCAGGCTGGCCTTGAATTTCAGCAGTCCTCCCGCCTCTGCCTCCTGAGGGATTACAGATGTGCATCGTCAGGTCAGGTTGACTACCTCTGTGAACACAGACCCCCTCTCCCCCCAGGGCACGACAACATCTTAAGAGAGTCCTGTGCTATCTAGTGGGTTCTAAAGCTCTAGAACATGGTTGGCAAGCTTTGTTACAAAGGTCAGACAGCAAATATTTTAGGTTTTAAGGGTCATGCAAGTCTCTAACACAGGACTCAACTCTATCATTACAGTACAAAAATAGCTATAGAAAATACTGAATATACATAATTCTGGGTCACTAAAAATTGTTTCAAACACAAAGTCTAAATTTCACAAAATTTTCATGTATTAAGGAATTTTTTTTTCCAACCACCTAAATAAGAATTTTTAAATCACCCTCAGCTAGGAGGTCATATAAAACATAAGGAACGAAAAGGACTTGGCCTGGGTAAGAAAGAAGACTAAGAGAAAATTGTCAGAGAAACAAATTCTGGCAAGCTGTGGGATGGGTGAGAAGAATCTGTACAGCTCTTCCTCTCCCCCTACCCCCACTATGGTGGTGGTGGTATTTTGAGAAAGGGTCTCCCTGTAGCCCCAGCTGGCCTGGGACTCATTATGTAGTAACGGCTGGCTTCGATCTCACAGAGATCTGCCTGCTTCTGCATCCCATATGCCCACCTTTCTCCTCTTTATACACATGTCCCTATAATTGTTTTCAAAACTCTTTTGTTCTAAGAAACTTGTAAGAAAAAAAATAATAATTAAAATTTTGTTATTGGTAGCTATTCTAGAACAATACACATAATTTTCCTCCCCTGAGTTTTATGAAAATATAAGAGATAGAAAAAACTCTGAGAATGAAGACTATTTATCCCCTAAAAATGCAGATGGACCCTGACAGCCACTTCATTTTACCCAGAACCACTGGGCAAGTTCCTGCTGCGCTGTTATTGAACAAAGAAGAGAGAAGACTGGATTTTCACTTGATCCTTAAACATTCAACTCTCCCAGACTGACATTAAGCAGCCATGGGCACGGCAGCAGTGCTTCCCTGACCTGATTTGGACTCTCTCCCTTGCTGTCAGCCAGGCTTCCCTGTGCTAGGGCTCCTGGCCCTCAAAAGGGGCTCATCTAAAGGAAACTAGGTACCACATCACTCATGGGCTCTGAGAGAAGGGCAATGGTGGCATTAAATGTCTGAAGGTATTTCTAAACAGTCAAGACGTTTAAGAGATTCTGAAAGGCAGGCCATTTTCCAAGTTTTCAGGAGTTTTAAAATCAGCATCAGAAAGCCACTGCTGTTTTATGTGATATATGCAAATTGAAATTCAAGTTAAAACATGAATTCAACATTAATTTTATTATAGGCCTATCACTAACCATGAACAAACATTTGAGCAATTGATTGACAACTGAAACAATAAACCTGCTTTTCAAAGAAACTTCTACTAGACTTACTAAAGTTTTACTAACTATAGTTTGGTGACATGTATACAAATTAATGTATTCAAGTAAAAAATTTACTGGATGTATATACTATTAAGACCTTAAAATCTTTGACACAACAAGTACATTGCTGAACAGAATATAAATTTCAAAATAACCCTTGAAGGGCATACACTTCAAGTTTAATAGTAAATATCCATACCATTGGGGTTTATTATTATAACCAGAGTAGGTTTTTAAAAATGTAAACTAGAGATTGAAGGGCTATAGAAATGGCTCAGTGGTTAAGAGCACATACTGCTCTTCCAGAAGACCAGAGTTCAATTCCCAGCACCATGCAGGGCAGCTCACAACCACCTGTAACCCCAGCTCCAGGGGCATCAAACACCTGTGGCCTCTGTGAGCACCTGTGCACAGGCACAGATATACACACACATTTATATTATTATTAATAAAATAGAAAAGGAGAAAAAACGCTTAATGTGACTTAACATTTCTTTTGTGATTAATACTATTTATGTATAGTAATTTCTACTGAAAATATTAATTTAGGGAGCTGGAGAGATGGCTCAGTGGTTAAGAGCACTTGCTATTCTTCCAGAGGACCTGGGTTCAATTCCCAGCACCCACATGGCAACTTATAACTGTCTAACGGGGAAATAAACTCCAGTTCCAGGGGATCCAACAGTGTCTTTGGGCCTCCACAGGCACTGCACAGATGTGGTGCACACACATGCAGGCAAAACACTCATACACATAAAATAAAATATCTTTGAAAAAAGAAAAAAATATTAGTTTAGAAAAAAACTGATTATCTGATGTTAATGTGGGAAGCTTGGGCTCTAGCTATCCCCACTAGAAATCTAAATTAAGTAGGGTATTATTTGGAAAAACAAAATAAATCCAGATATTCCAATATTGATAAAAACAACTAGCTGATACAGCAAATACTGTCCTAATGCTTTAAAGACTAGTATTCTATCTAGGAGTGGTAGTGCATGGCTATAATCCCCAGCAATTAAGAGGCAGAAGCAGGAGATCACAAAAAATTGGAGACCAGTCTGGTCTACACAGCAAATTCTAGGCCAGCCAGGACTACATAGCAATGCCCTTTGTAAAACTAATTTAAAATTTTAATTAATAATTAATTTCAAAAATCAACAGTTAATTTTACTAATAGTCTATAACATCCTGATCATTCCACAGGAGAGAGTCCAAATCGTAAGTCTTACACCAGGTGACTGTGACTTCAGTACCGGACTAGACTCTAGAACTGACAGTGTTATGACTATGTAATTGTCACAGGGCAAATCTAGTACTAGACACCAATGTGTAAGGCCTAATCAATCCTCTGAACTGCCCTACCTAGGTGTCACTAGTGCTGAACTGTGCACAAGTGTTTTGATTTTGTTGTAGTGGCTGCTGGTTCTCTCTCAGCAAACTCAAGAGCACAGACATACCTTTTGGCACATGACATAGTGCAGAATCGTTTTGACCGCAAAAATTCATTAGCATATCCCATTTTCCCACAGAATTCACACTTGAGCAACTCACTGTCCATCTCTTCTAATGTCTCTAAAAGAGAAAGAAGGGGGGATCCAAAATTTGATTGTGGTGAAATTTCTCTCAGCCCCCATACTGGTTGTGTACAGCTATTAGATCAATGGTTCTCCATCTTATCTTCGATCCACAGCCACCCCGGCTCGGCAAGTCCTTTTAAAACAAACACCCCTACTAATTCCCTCCTGTTTCTGCACAAAACGTATGACATTGTTTTCTATACAAGAAGTACATTTTTATACAAATATGCTTAGATTAATTTTGCTAAGAATCTAGCATGACTAAAATGTGCAAACAATTGACAACACCAGAAAACAAAATGAGTAATGTGGTCACTACCCTCTAGAAGGGATATTTTTAAAAAGCAGAATGTAGGATACTAATTGGTTCATTATGCTGTAAAGACTTATAACAGGGAAGCGCTTTAAATTCTAAATGTAGAGAATGGAAAGACTTGGATGTCTGATTTTAGAGGCACATGTAAAATACATAACTCTAAGAGAGCTGCAGCATATGACATATTTTTAAAAATATTTTATTATCTTTATTTTTTTATGTGTATGAGTGTACTGCCTGCATACAGGAAGGTGCACCCCTGTCGTGCAATGCCAGCAGAGGTAAGAAGAGGGTGTTGGATCCCCTGGAACTCGAGTTATAGATGGCTGTTAGCCACCATGTAGGTGCTGGGAATCGAACCTGAGTCCTCTGCAAGAGCAGTCAGTGCTCTTAACCACCGAGCCATCTCTCCAGCCCCCATATGACAGTTTATAAAGATATATATAATCTAGCCGTAAGACAGTTTTAGTATTAAATAAAAATTCTGCTTTAAAATTGCAAAGGGGCTAAATCCTCCACGGCTCAGCAGCAGCCACTACATTTCATGAGACACCATTTTCTCATCTATCAGATGGATTTTACACTACCTTTCCTGAAGAGCTGGAGTAACAATTAAATAAGTGCCTATTGCATTTCCCATTTTACACAGAACTGGGGGCACTAAGGCATGTAGTAAGTACTCAGGTACCTGACAGAAGCCTGGAATCCTGGAATCCCTAAATCCACCAGATTTTGCCCTTTTTAGCTGCATAATTCTTTATGCCTATTCCATAAAGTATGCAATAAAAAGCACTCTGATGACTAAACCCGCAGCCATGAGCCCCATATGTGCTCTCTACATTCTCACAAAGACAGCAAGACAAAGTCAGGGACTGTGAAGCAGACACGGATGGCATGTGCTCAGTAAACTCAGTTCCCCCAGTTTGCTGGAGAAGGAAAGGGCTAAATCAAGCAGATTTAGTGAGGATTACTAAAACATACTGTAAGGTAGTACTCCACAGTGGTAGGCTCCAACCCACCTTCTTGACTAAGGAAACCACAACTAGCAAGCAGCCTTGGTTGATTGTTGTTTTGTGTGTGGTACAGGGCCTCAAACCCAGGGCTTCGCACACCCTAGGCAAATGCTCTACATCTTCAGCACCCAAGTGGTCATTTAAAGGAAACTCAAAATTGCCTTATATAAAAAAATCATTGATATAGTTACAATGAGGAAGAAACTAAGTAAAATAAAAACTGGCCCTTCCAGAGAGACTCAGAAAGTGACACCCCTAGTTGAGGCGCTATTGGCAGTTGATGGCTGCTAGGCAGAGAATCAGTTTTCCTCAGGGATGTGCCCCACGCAGCAGTGGATGGTTCAAATCCATGCACATACTGGCAGCACGGACTGAACTCAGAGTTAAAACAAGAACACATGAAGCTGGGAGGGAGATGTGGGGAGGGAGGTGTGGGAAGGGAGGTGTGCGGAGGGAGAGGTCTGGGAGGAGTTGAAGGGGAAAGAGTGGGCAGTGGACTTAATCCAAACGTTGTATACATGTATGAACTCTTCAAAGAATAAATAAAAATTATTCTTTAAAAAATAAATGAAAACTGCTCCTTCCCAAAACTTACAGAAGGCTTCAACAAAGCTATGACCCAATCATAACATTCATCTGCAGGCCTGGAATAGTCTTTTTAAATTCTTTTTAAAAAGAGTCCATTCCAAGGGGCTGGAGAGATGGCTCAGCGGTTAAGAGCACTGACTGCTCTTGCAGAGGACCTGGGTTCAATTCCCAGCACCCACATGGCAGCTATGAACCATCCTTAACTCCAGTTCCAGGGGAATCCGAAGCCCTCTTCTGATGTCCGCGGCATTGCACGACATGGGTGCACTCACATACATGCAGGCAATACACTCATACACATTAAAAAAAAAAAAAAAAAAACAGAATCCATTCCTTAAGCTGTTTCAAGGGGCCTGGAGAGATGGCTCAGTGGTTAGGAGCACTGCTCTGGCAAAGGATCCAGGTTTAGTTCCCAGTACCCACATGGCAGTTAACAACCATCCTTAACTCCAGTTCCAGGGGATCCAATGACCTCTTCTAGCCTCCACAGGTATTTCATGCACAGGTACATTTACATACATGCAGGCAGAACACTCATACACCACACACATAAAATGAATAATTTTTTTTTTTTTTTTTTTTTGTCTTTTTGAGACAGGGTCTCCCTGTAGCCCCAGCTGTCCTAGAACTCACTATGTAGACCAGGCTGGCCTTGAACTCACAAAGATCCTCCTGCCTCTGCCTCCCAAGTGCTGGGATTAAAGGTGTGCACCACCCAGCATGAATAAAATCTTCTTTTAAAAAAAACTTGATCTGGGGCTGGAGAGATGGCTCAGCAGTTAAGAGCACTGGCTGCTCTTGCAGAGGACCCAAGTTCGAATCCCGAGCTGTCACCTACATGGCAGCTGACAATGAAGCGAAACTCCAGTTTCAGGAGATCCAATGCCCTCCTCTGTCTTCCGTGGGCATTGCATGACATGGGTGCACTTACATACATGCAGGTAATACACTCACGTAAATTTTAAATTAATAAAGTAATTAAAAATTGTTCCAAGGTCAGGCTATGTTCAAAGCTTTGTTACAGAGATTTTTAAATTATTAGTAATGAACACAATATGGTAAAATACCTGATAATATGTTAGACTACTTTAAGAAGAAAAAATTGCTGCTGCTGTTGTTGAGAGGGAACAAAGTTTTGGTGTGGTTTTTGATTTTCTGAGAATGGGTCTCCCTGTAGCAGCTGGTCTGGAACTCAATATGTAGACAGGGCTGGTCTAGAACTCACAGAGATCCACCTGCCTCTGCCTCCTGAGTGCTGAGATTAAAGGTGTGTGCCGCCACACCCAGCCTGGAATAAAGTTTTAACAACAGCTTAGTAAAGTTTTGGTCTTAATAAAGAAGTAACAGTTGTAATTTTCCTGTTCTAGATAAGGCTTGCAGTACAGGCCTGTGATCCCAGCTACTTGGGAGGCTGAAGCAGGAGGATGTCAAGTCAAGGCCTGCCTGGACAACTTAGTGAAATCCTACCCCAAATAAGGAATACAGAAAAGGCTGAGGATACAACTGGGTGTTTCCCTGGCATGTATGAGCCCTGGGCTTAAATGCCAATACTGGAAGGAAAAACTCCTATCCAAACTTTGGCCAGATTTTTAACAATCTAGTAATGTTCCCAGATAGTTTTCATATTTATTTGTGAATAAAGCCATGAACAATCAAGTGAATTATTTCTTTTAATTAGCTATTTATTTTATGTGTATGAGTGTTTTGCCTGCATGTATGTAAGTGTACCTGTGTCGTGCAATGCCCACGGAGACCAGAGGGAAAGCATTGGATCCCCTGAACTGGGGTTATAGCCAGTTGTTTGCTGCCATGTGGGTGCTAGGAACTGAACCTGGGTCCTCTACAAAAGCAGCCAGTGCTCTTAACCCTGGGCCATATCTCTAGTGCCGCCCCCCACCACCTGTTTTTTGAGACAGGGTCTGCCCGTAGCCCCAACTGGCCTGGAATTTGCTATCACAGAGATCCGCCAGCCTCTGCCTCCCAAGTGCTGAGATTAAAGGTATGCACCACCACGACCATCTAAAATTTTAACGCATTTTATGCTGTAGTTCTCTACCATGAGATATAACAACCATCATTATCTTCTGCCTGTGGTATCTCATTTGGCTTAACTGTTTGCTTTGTTTCCCTTCAGCTCTTTCCTTCCCCCTCTCACCAGGCATCTCACAGGCATCACTTACATGTCAGATCTCTAAATACATCAGAGAGATGACCAGCAAAGTTCCAAAACCTCTTTTAGTTTATGCCACTGCCAAAAGAATCTTAGTAGTCTTCCCCTCAGCAAGACACAACCACCTCCTTCATCCAAGGCACTTCGGGTTCTGACCAGGCATCTTCCTTTCTCATTGTTCTCCTAGTCCAACTCTCATATGTACACTCACCCTCCTACAGTGACCTAGTACTTACACATTCTTCTGTCCTAAGGTGCTCTTTCCGTCAGTATCTTAAATCTATGCTTGTTTGTTTTAACCGAACACTTAGTTCAAACTTTATGTATTTAAAGACATTCACCAAACTATAAATAATTTAAGCCAGTTCTATGTTCTTATTGTCTACGAAATGCACTGAAAATCTCCCATCTGCTGCTCCTTCGTTATCTTCTGTAGTGGAGATTCCCTAGTTTCAAACTAAACTGAAAGCTCCTTGAGGGAAGGCTGGTGTTTGGCTTCTTCTGTGCACAGCCCTCAGCTGTTAGCGCACACTGCTGCATGCCACAGATCATCCACTACTTACTAACCACAAGTATCTCAAAATATGCTATGAAGCTTCCCAGATTTCCATGTTCCCATGTGTTCACCAGGGACCAGGAGAAACAAATCTTCGTGTTTCATACAATTTTCACTTATACACTTTATTATGTAGATATAAACAAGAAGAGAAAATAGAATATCTGAACATTCCTTTTTACTACTTTCCATCTCAAAAAAGAAATGTATACATAGCTAGGCAAAGTGATGCACACCTTGAATCCCAGTATTCGGGAGGCAGAGGCAGTCAGATCTCTAAGTTTCAGGCCAGCCAGGATTACATAGTGAGACCTTGTCTCAAAAAAAGGAGAAATACAGGCATATAAAATAGTATGCACAATGTTAATAACATTCAAGATTTTATCCGATTAAACTGTTTGCTCTTCAAATAAGAAGTAAAAGAGGCTAGACAGATGCTTCAATGGTTAAGAGCACTGGCTGCTCTTGCAGAGGACCTAGATTCAGTTCCCAGCACCCACATGGTAGCTAACAACTGTCTGTAACTCCAATTCCAGGGGATCCGACACCCTCTTCTGAGTCTGCAGGCGTTTCATGTACATGATACACTTACAAACATGCAGGCAAAACACTCAAAACTTATAAAACAAAGGACATTAAAAAATATTTTTGAGACAGGGTTTCCCTGAAGCCCTAGCTGGCCTTGAACTCACAGTATAGACCAGACTGGCCTTGATCTCACAGAGTTCCTTTTGCCTCTGCCTCCCAAGTGCTGGGTTTAAAGGTACGTGCCACTACACCCAGCAAAAACACATAAGAATCTTTTTTTAGAATAAGAAGTAAACAGTGATGAATACTTTGTAAGAGTTTATAAAGTATGAACAACGGCAGGTGCCACCCTTTCAAGAGTTAGAAGAATGCTGGGTATTTGCTTACCAATAAGCCATTTTGCTAAATTTAACAATGTATACAGGCACACAATATAGTAATACTGACCCAATAAATACTTACAAAACAAGTAAGTTAATTTTAGAGGAATACACATATATATTGAGGATAATTACTTAGACAAAGATTGAGCCCACTGCTGTACGCTCTGACTACAGACAACACATTGAGCAGCTACATCAACTGTAGAGTCATGAGTAAGACTCGAACAATGCCTTACACAGCACAGCTAGAACTGGGTTGGTTAGTAAGGTTTTTTTTCAAACCACACATTCAGAACCTCATCCAAAAACAAACAAAAAGTACAAGCATTTGCTGACTTTAAGAAGGAAACTAAAGGCACAGAGCACCATTTGAGGCTTTCCTTGTTTTGCTTCCCCTTAGCCATTTTACCATTTTGACTTCTAAAGTAGTCAGTATTAAAATAAAGTCAATTAAGAGGGATTCTTTGACATTAAGGACATTGAGTGATATTTTTCTCTTTGAACAAATGTAACTGTCTATTGGCTGAAGAGAGCATCCTTAATACAACTGTAATGCCCACCTGGTAACCTCCACCCCAGTATGGAAAAGTCGAAAACAACACTGATGCTCTGTATCTTCAAGCATAGTTAGCAAAGTAGTCATCTGTTAAGACTGAGCTCTGATTTTAAAAAGAAGTGGCTGTCCTGATTCAAAAAACCTGAATGACCTTCTCTCATCAATAACAGAATTTTTCCCATCTACAGTTCTTCAAAAGTCCAACTGACAATGTACAAACTAGCACCAATTTTGCTCTTTTAGTTATTTACTTATTAAGGCTCTGCTTAGCTTTCCCATTACTTCAGTCAAGTAAAACAGCATCCGTGGACAACAGCAGCCAAAAACAAAGTGAAAGTGAAAGCCGCAAACCTTCGGCAATCATGTCCTCCATCTCCGTGTCGGAAGAGTTATCCGCATGCTTCGTATTATTCTGTAGCTCTGGCTGGACACACATGGAATTTACCACCTGATTATCCAAAAGAGGCCTCTTCTTCACAGGTTGTTCTATGAGCAAAGATGAACGACTCACCTTTAAAAGGGAAAGAGAACAGAAGGAAATAATCTCTAAAAAACAAGTCTGGAAAGGTATGGCATCTGTGATAATTAACTTATTCAATAATCAGATCTGATCACTGTTTCATCCCTCAAGCAAAAGTCTGGCAGTCTGCACACAACTGCTAGGCAGAGGCAGAGCAGATGCTTCAGGTTCTGTCAAACAGCACCTAATAGACCATGTGCAGTAAGTGCCACAGAAGCCCGAGTCCCCTAGAATTACACATGTTGTTAACTGCCATGTGGGTGCTGGGTTGAACAAAACCCAGATCCTCTCCATAAGAGCAGCAAGTGTTCTTAACAACTTAGCCATCTCTCCAGCCCTAGGCAAGTAGTTTTTAAGAAAGTTTTATGTTCAGAATAGAAGCTCTCAGATTATCCTGCACTAAGAGAAAAGCAAGGCCACAGAGCTGGGGTGGGGGAGAGCTGTTTTTTAGTCTTTTGCAGCTCTAAGGGGTTGAATTTGAGGTCCTGCACTGACCTACACCCCCATCCATTTCTGTAGAACTCTGGTTTGCTTGTGGAGATAGGGTCTCACTATGTAGCCCAGCTTAGCCCCAAACACACAATCCTACCTCAGCCTCCTAGTGCTGGGATTATAGTCCTACATTACTATCATGCTCAGTTTAACTTTTACAACACTATTCAATTAAGCAATTATCTCTCATTTTTTCCCTAGGGCCTCAAACATATTAGACTAGCTCTCTAACACTAAGCTATATCCCTAGCCCTTTGTTAATTTGGTGGTGTTATTGAGAGAGTGTATATACATGTTCATCTGTGTGGGTGTGTCTGCAGGGACCAGAGGTTACCATCAGGTGCCTTCCTCAATGGATCTCTAACTGATTGTTTGAGGCCCGGCTTTACACGAGTACTAAGTAGGAATCTAAACTCAGGTCCTCATGCTTGTGTAGGAGGCACTTTACCAACTGAATGATTCCTAGCTTCCCCCTCCACCAGCCCTTTCTGTATTGCTCATTTTGAGACAGAGTCTTGCTAAGTTGCCCAGGCTGGCCTTGAACTTGCCATTCTACTCCCTCAACCTCCCAAGTAACTAAGGTTACTGTGCCACAGGCCTGGCTGTTTAATTTATTTATTTATTATTTATTTATTCTCTCTCTCCCCATCTCCCACTTCTCTCTGTGTGTGATGTGAGAGGGAGGAAAGAACACGTGTCATGGCACACGTGTGGAGGTCAGAGGACAACTTTATGGAGTCTGTTTCCTCCTTCCACCATTACTTGAGGTCTGAAGATCAAACTCGGGTTGCCAGGTGTGGCATGGCTGGTGCTTGTACCTGCTGCTTGTCCAACTTTTTAAAATATTAAATCGAGGGCTGGACAGATGCTCAGCAGTTAAGAACACTGGCTGCTCTTGCAGAGGACCCAGGTTCAATTCCCACATGGCAGTGAACAACTGTCTGTAACTCCAGTTCCAGGGGAATCTTGAAGCCTCTTCTGACCTCCAAGAGTACTTCATGACACGGATGACTTACATACATGCATGCAGTATACTCATACACATAAAATAAGAATAAAAAGTATTTTTAAAAATATTAATCAATTCGGCTGGGCGTGGTGGCGCACACCTTTAATCGCAGCACTAGGGAGGCAGAGGCAAGTGGATCTCTGTGAGTTCAAGGCCAGCCTGGTCTCCATAGTGAATTCAGGACAGCTGGGGCTACAGGGAGACCCTGTCTCAAAAAGACCACCCAAAATAAATATATAAATATAATTTAAAAATATTAAAAATATTAATCAATTAAGCCATTTTCCCCCCAAATTCTCCCTGGTGACTAATTTTTTCCTTCAGAAAATTTACATTTTTCCATGTGAATGCAACATAAAAATGAGAAATTTTAAATGTTAGAGATGGAATCCAGGCTACATATAGGCTAGGCAAGGAGAGTCTAACCTCTGAGCCACACCCCAAGCCCAGACTTTTATAATTTACAGAGAATACCAATGTTCAAATGTTTAGGTTATTTCTTTACAAAGCAGAATGAAGACTGGCACTCAAGTCTCCCAACCTTAGTTCGGCACCCTAATCCACTGTAGTCACATCAGCATCAACAAGAAAATATTCTTCACCCATGTTCTCTGTGCTTCGTCGTCATGAATGCTTATTTTAGGAATATTTTTAGGAAACAATTCAAACCAAAAATATATACTGATTCTTAAGGCAAACCCTCAGCTACTCTAAAAAGAAGATAATTAGAACATTTTATTCTGGAGGAATACTGGTTAAGAAATGCTGAGGAACCACAGCTTACTAGAAATGTCTACATTTAAACTTAGAGTCAAATCACAATCTTAAATTGAGACACTTTTTGTTTGTTGCAGTAAGATATTTCATATGCCTCAAGGAGAATTTATAGAAGTAATTCCTAGGAAAAACCCTTTAATGCAGTACTGCTAACCCACACTTCTTGTGAAAGAATAGTAACCTTTCCATGAAATAATATGATGGTATGTATCAAGTCTTCTGAGTACACACATATTATGACACAATAATCCTACTTCTAGGAATTAATTCCAAGAAAATGACTTAAGTGTGGATAACTCATATACAAAAATATACCTTTCCGAAGTTTGTGTGTGTGTGTGTGTGTGTGTGTGTGTGTGTATGTAGTGCTAGAGATCTGGCCTCACATATGCTAAGCAGGCACTCTGCCACTGAGCTATAGCCCCAACCTCTCAGACTACATGATAAGTGAAAAATGCAAACAGTGTTCAACAACAATGGGAGGACATCATGACTATCCATAAAGTGGAATAGTATATAACCTTTCAAAACATTCCAAAAATGCTATTGATTATATGGAAAAATAAATGCTCAAATTTATGACAAGAAAGAAGTAGAATTATAGATACAATAATCTTGATTATATGACTATACATATACCACTGTGACACTGAAGATTATTTGTTCTATACATTCCCCAAGTTTTAATTGAGAACATGTACCACTTTTGTAAAATGGAAAATGAAAGTTGTAATTGTCAGTACACTAGTGATAATCAGTCCTAGTGGTGGCTAATAAATGCCAAGCATGACTTAGAATAACACCGGCATTTTTTAATTCTCACACATCCCAAGGGTAGTCTCCTATCCAACTGCCAGATAAGCAAAGATCAGAAATGACTAGGATGAAATGTCTTAGAATATATGTTTGGAAATAAATCAAAGATTAGACAGTTAAAATTCTAGCTAGACATGACCTGCAGGCCTCTCTCAGGGCCTGGGACCTGTCCCATTCCTTCTCTTGGTGCCCCAGACACAAGAATAACCACCACTGCTTCCTGATCCTTTGCATCCAGACCAACTCAGTTGCTTCTTGGGTCCCCAGGGGCACTCTGGGCCTGTCCCTGCCCTCACCTCCCTCTGCTTCCCAGTCTGCATGACCCCTGGAGGACAAGGACTGGCCAACCTCTCTCAGGAGCCCTCAGGACCTGGTCCTGCCCTCACCTCCCTCTGCTTCCCTAGGCTGCACGACCCACCAGCCTCTTTCCTGGACACCATGGCTGACCTTTCCTCTTCCTGATCCTTTGCATCCAGACCAACTCAGTTCCTCAGTGCAGTTCCCAGGAGCCCTTGGGTCCGCTTCCCGCACCCATCTTCCTTTGCATCTCTGGGAGGCAGGGCCACCAGCTGCCCTAAACCAGCATCTTTCCTGGGCCCTGCTCCCAGGCCAGTCCAACCCGCAAATTCCTGAGGCCAAAATCTTTCCTGGAGGGATCCAGAACTTAAGCCTGAGAACATCTGATCCTCATCTGACTTGGGCCTCTGTGGGACAAAAGCAATCTGGCCACTACAATATAAAATCAAAAGAGAGAACCTGAAGCATAGAGGAACCAGCTTTTCATGCCCAAAAGGTAAACCACAAAGACACATAAAGTTTACAAAAAGAAGCAGACCTAAACTTGAAGGCTTGAGTCTCACAAAAGAATCAGAAACTACAAAAGAAATTCACATGTCAAAATCACAGAGAAAAAATAATAACACAAAAAAACAAAATAACATATCCCCAACAAATACCAATAGACTTCTAGAGGAGTACAATGAGAAAGCCCTAGAGATAATGCAGGACATGGAACTCAAAAGAACAATTATAAACATGATAAAAGAATTCAAGAACACACAAAGAAATCAAAGAACTGAAGGAAGATAGGGATAAACTTCTGAATGAATTCAGAAGAGTTAGAAATACTGAAGAATAATCGGGCTGAAATGAAGAAGGAAGTGAAATACTCAGTGAGCCAATTAGAAACGACAGGAGAAAGCCTCACCAATAGGATGAATGAAATGGAAAACAGAGTATCAAGATGGGAAGATAAAGTGGATGAACTGGACCACTCAAGCAAAGATTATGAAAAATTTAAGAAATCACAAGAATGGAATATGCAGGAAATGTGGGATACCATGAAAATTCTAAATTTATGCATTATAGGCAACACTTAAACGTACAAAAAAAAAAAAAAAAAAGAGACAATACTGAAAGCTGCAAAAGAGAAACAACAAGTCACAAATAAAGGGAAACCCATTAGGATTACAGCTGACTTTTCAGTGCAAACTATGAAAGCCAGAAGAGCCTGGACCAAAGTATTCCCAGTTGTAAATGACCACAGATGCCAACCCAGATTACTATAACCAGCCAAAATGTCTATTATACTCAAAGGGGAAAGAAAAATTCCATGACATAAATAGGCTGAAGGAATTCTTGTCCACAAAACCATCCTTTCAGAGAGTTTTGGAAGCAATACAAAGACCCGAAGAAAGCAATGACTATACCCAAGAGGTTGTGGAAGGAAATTCAATGAAGATATAACTGTGGAAAAGTACAGCTATATCAAGAATGTAAACAGAAATAAAAATGACAGGATTCAATACTCATCTTTTATTAATAACTTTAAATATTAACGTACTGAACTCCCCAGTCAAAAGACACAGACCAGGTGAATGGATTAAGAAACAAAACC